TGTGTTAAAAAAAAAAGCCGAATTAGTCTTATTTCAAGATTTGTTGCTATATTTTTCAATCCAAGGGCGACATTTTTTAAAGCGGTTCAGAATGAGCTCAAATGAAGACAAATTTTTGCCAAATTTTGAGCAATTTTTGTCTAATTTTTCAGTTTTTACAGTTTATTTTCTATATCTTTCTTCTGAATATGTGATGCTACTCCTCCTGCCTCATTGGTGAGTGAAACGTAACGTAAATATAAACTTGTTTCTGTGTGATTAAAGGTCCAGTGGTGTGAGGTCCGGTGGCGGCGCTCGTACCTGTGCTTGTACCTGTGCTCAGTCCTCTCCTGCGGCGGAGGATCTGAGAGACATCCTTCAGATAAACATGGCTTTAGTTCAGAAAGCTTTTGATCCAAGTGACCTCAGGGTTCAGCGAGGGCAGGGCGTCCGTGGCTCCGTGTGTGTGTGTGTGTGTGTGTGTGTGCGTGTGGGTGTATGTGTGTGTCTGTGTGTGTACGTGTGTGTGTGTGCGTGTGGGTGTATGTGTGTGTGTGTGTGGTCTCCAAAACGTTTGTGTCTAATGTATTTGTTTAGACACCGGTCCGGCTCGTCAGAAAAGCTGCGAGTGCCACATGGAAAGAACAATGCCTTTGTCCAAGAAATAAATAATATTAAATTAGACATTAAATAAAAGTCAGAACGTGTAAAAAGCACATTTTGTCGATAATCATTTGTGAAATTCGTCTCACTTCATCTTAACTTATCGTTTCAGCGTAAATGTTCAAATATTACACTGTTTTTGTGTAATGTCGATGTTCAACAATATTCTACAGGATCAGAGACTGAGGCGACAATGACACATGGCCCTGTGTGTGTCTGTGTGTGTCTGTGTGTGTGTGTGTCTGTGTGAGTCTGTGTGTGTGTGTCTGTGTGAGTCTGTGTGTCTGTGTGAGAGTGTGTGAGTCTGTGTGAGAGTGTGTGTGTGTGTGTCTGTGTGTGTCTGTGTGTGTGTGTGTCTGTGTGAGAGTGTGTGAGTCTGTGTGTCTGTGTGAGAGTGTGTGAGTCTGTGTGAGAGTGTGTGTGTGTGTCTGTGTGTGTTGGGGGGAGGTAAAGTGCGCTCCATAGCGAGAGTCCTCTTGTGTGTGTCTCTCTCTGAAACAGTCTCGTCACCGCGGCTACATCTTCCCTTTGCTCGACAGCGCCCCCTTCTGTCCCCACTCTGTATTTACACACAACAACCCCGAGCATCATCCAGCCACCTCCCGAGCTCCTATATACATCCCTGTCGTCTGTGAAGAGTTAAATATATAGAATTTTCCGACCAAGAAAGCCACAAAGATTACATTATATACATTGTACCCTTAAAACCCCGCCCTATTCTGCTTTAATCTATATCAATCCATTCAAACGAACGTCACAAAAATAATCTCAGCTGTGTGCATTGGCGTGTGTGAGAGATAGTACAATTGTGACATTTTTTTTTGCCTGTTTTAAAAAAGAAAAACAACCGCTTGAGGTAAACAAAACACACACAGCACACGCACACAATTGTTGCATTTGTCGTTCCGGGAAAAAAAAAAAGAATCGCAGAGTCCTCGGAGCCAACGTAGCTCGTCCCTGATTCAAAATGGCGCAGTCTTATATACCTCGAATACAGCGTCTGTTCCTTGCCGCTAGCATGTTAGCATGTAGCATCGTGTCCAAAATAGCTTGACAAAAAATTGTGTGAAAAAGGCCCAGATTCTACAGCAAAAAAACAAAATCCACAAAAAGCGATTGGGCTCCTTTAAAAAAAAACAATGGTAGAATTGTCGAAATTGCCAGTGAGATGGCGGCCATCTTGGAGTGGGGTTTGGGGAGGTTAGCGAGCGTCGGCGACAATCTTCAAACGTCAAATGTAGCGGTTCTTGAAGTTGATGGGAAATCCCTGGTTTGGTGGATTCGCTCCTTTTCGGGAGGTTAGCGTGAGAATACAGTAGAGTTTGAATGTCGATGCACATTGATAGAAAGTGTCCAATGAGATGTGGATATGGGTGTTAGCATGCTAGTGCTAGTGCTAGTGCAGTCGGGGAGTAGCAAGGATGTGATCACCGCCGGCAGATAGAAGACCGAAGGGATAACAAAGGGTTGGTTGGCTGTGTCTAAACTGTGCGATACATAAAAACTTGCCTTTAACTGCAGCTGCTGGTATAAGCATAACATAATAAAGTCGTAATTATGGGATGAAAATGTTGTTTTGTGAAAGGATTAGTCTATAGCAGAAAGGTCAAACTCAGGGGCCGAAAAAAATAAGTAGGAAGTGGTCGAGGGCCAAATCAATAGATGGGATTTCATTTTCTTGTTTTTTGTACAAATTGTTTTTTACATTATGAAGGTATTTTGACAATACTTTTATGTGACATGAGTTGGTTATTATTTTCTGCTTGATTGTTATGAAAACAAAATGTGTTTATTGTTTAGATTTAACCAGAAGTGGACCAAATATGGATTTACACACATTGTTTTATATTGAACTATTTAATGATGATGGGTAAAATTTTTAGAAATCATGAAATTTGGTTGTTTTAAAAGATAGATCCTGTGGTCGCTCATTATCATCAATGCTGCAAGTTCATAATAATAATAAAAAATCATGTTAGGGGCCATGGAAAAATATATAACTAAATCAGTTTGACAACTTCAATAATACATAAAGATACATAAGTAAATACGTCAGAATCGTTTTGATATATTTTTCGGATTTCAACATTTCTGGCCGTTCTACGTACCTACGGTTGTATGAAAATGTGGCAGCGGTTTATTAATGCTAACGGCTAACTGTTGATCTGCTTGTCAAAACCTATCATCAGATTGCAGAAGCTAAGCAGTGCAAGGAAAGGGCAATACATGCATGGGAGACCGCAGTGGGACGGCTGGGGCTCTAGTGCAAACTGTTGTTGTGTCCTTGGGCAAGACACGTCCCCCACATGGATCTGGAGTGAGTGTGAATGACAGGAAGTGGCCGTGAAGCTACGTTTAGCATTAGCATTAGCATTCACTCCGGCATCACAACACTGTCTCTTTTGAATGTCTGCAGCCGTGAACACATCCTTGGACTCATTTGTGTGTCTGTGTGTGCGTCTGTGTGTGTGTGTGTCTGTGTGTGTGTGTGTCTATGGGTGCGTGTGTGTGTGTGTGTCTGTGTTGGGGAAAAAATTGATTCGGTTCAGTATCGCGATATTGTACGCAGACAATTTTTAACTATGTTGTCCTCTTGTTATGACTCTATGATGTCTGCTTGTTGTGACTCTATGATGTCTGCTTGTTGTGACTCTATGACGTCTGCTTGTTGTGACTCTATGACGTCTGCTTGTTGTGACTCTATGATGTCTGCTTGTTGTGACTCTATGGTGTCTGCTTGTTATGACTCTATGATGTCTGCTTGTTATGACTCTATGATGTCCTCTTGTTATGACTCTATGATGTCTGCTTGTCGTGACTCTATGATGTCTGCTTGTTGTGACTCTATGACGTCTGCTTGTTGTGACTCTATGACGTCTGCTCGTTGTGACTCTATGACGTCTGCTTGTTGTGACTCTATGATGTCTGCTTGTTGTGACTCTATGTCTGCTTGTTATGACTCTATGACGTCTGCTTGTTGTGACTCTATGATGTCTGCTTGTTGTGACTCTATGATGTCTGCTTGTTGTGACTCTATGACGTCTGCTTGTTGTGACTCTATGACGTCTGCTTGTTGTGACTCTATGATGTCTGCTTGTTGTGACTCTATGGTGTCTGCTTGTTATGACTCTATGATGTCTGCTTGTTATGACTCTATGATGTCCTCTTGTTATGACTCTATGATGTCTGCTTGTCGTGACTCTATGATGTCTGCTTGTTGTGACTCTATGACGTCTGCTTGTTGTGACTCTATGACGTCTGCTCGTTGTGACTCTATGATGTCTGCTTGTTGTGACTCTATGATGTCTGCTTGTTGTGACTCTATGTCTGCTTGTTATGACTCTATGACGTCTGCTTGTTGTGACTCTATGACGTCTGCTTGTTATGACTCTATGATGTCTGCTTGTTGTGACTCTATGATGTCCTCTTGTTATGACTCTATGATGTCTGCTTGTCATGACTCTATGATGTCTGCTTGTTGTGACTCTATGACGTCTGCTTGTTGTGACTCTATGACGTCTGCTTGTTGTGACTCTATGACGTCTGCTTGTTGTGACTCTATGATGTCTGCTTGTTGTGACTCTATGATGTCTGCTTGTTGTGACTCTATGATGTCTGCTTGTTATGACTCTATGATGTCCTCTTGTTATGACTCTATGATGTCTGCTTGTCGTGACTCTATGATGTCTGCTTGTTATGACTCTATGACGTCTGCTTGTTATGACTCTATGACGTCTGCTTGTTATGACTCTATGATGTCTGCTTGTTATGACTCTATCACGTCTGCTTGTTATGACTCTATGATGTCTGCTTGTTGTGACTCTATGATGTCTGCTTGTTATGACTCTATGATGTCCTCTTGTTGTGACTCTATGACGTCTGCTTGTTATGACTCTATGATGTCTGCTTGTTATGACTCTATGACGTCTGCTTGTTATGACTCTATGATGTCTGCTTGTTGTGACTCTATGATGTCTGCTTGTTATGACTCTATGATGTCCTCTTGTTGTGACTCTATGACGTCTGCTTGTTATGACTCTATGATGTCTGCTTGTTATGACTCTATGATGTCCTCTTGTTGTGACCTGCGATATGTTAAAAATCGCAATAATATCGAATTTTGGCCCAAATATCGCAATACTGTTGAATCGTCACATTTTTGCGAATTCCAACCCCTAGTCTGTGTGTGTGTGTCTGTGTGTCTTTGCGTGTGTGTGTGTGTGTGTGTGTGTCTTTGCGTGTGTGTGTGTGTGTGTCTGACAGATGCATGTGCTTGTCTCTCATTCAGGGATTCTCTTTGCTCTAACGGGACACACATAGTTCTCTTCCTCCTCCTTCTGCTCATCGCTCGGTCTCCTCTATGTCACCCACGCATCCAGTCTCATCCTCTTCACACTGGCCCCGTCCTGGTCCTGTGGCTCCGCAGACGACGGCCTCAGCAGGATCATCGACTGCTGCTGCTGCTGCTGCTGTTGCTGCTGCTGCTGCACTAGCGCCCCCTGCTGGTGCTGCCCGAACTCCAAGGCCTCGCGCTCGCCGCTGCCCTCGTACGAGCTGCCGTTACTGCTCAGGGAGTCCACGGGGGATCGGCCCTGGCCCCCCGCGTCCAGCCTCAGGGCCCCGGGGTAGATTGAGACCAGGCCTTGATGGGAGGAGCCTCCGGGGATCTGGATGTGGTTGATGTGGTTGAGGGCCTGGCTGAGGGAGTTGGGGGTGCTGCGGTCGCGGTTGGGGGACACGGGTTCTGTTTTGATGCTGACGTTGGTGTTGATTGACAGGGCCGTGCCGGGAGAGAGGTGGCTGACCGGGCTGAAGAGGAAACACAAAAGAAAAATGGATTAGATTGAGTTGATATGATCATTTGCAGTAAAACCACATTGGAATACACGTGCAAGAGTCCACAGTGTGCACCAGACAAGTACAGACAGCAAGAAAAAGTGATCAGAGAGAGGTTCCAGAGAGAGATATTTGAGAGAGACCAGAGAGAGATTAGAGAGAGACCAGAGAGGGACCAGAGAGAGACCAGAGAGAGACTAGAGAGGGATCAGAGAGAGACCAGACAAAGACCAGAGAGGGACCAGAGAGGGACCAGAGAGGGACCAGAGAGGGACCAGAGAGAGACCAGAGAGAGACCAGAGAGAGACCAGAGAGAGACTAGAGAGGGATCAGAGAGAGACCAGAGAGAGACAAGAGAGGGATCAGAGAGAGACCAGAGAGAGACTAGAGAGGGATCAGAGAGAGACCAGAGAGAGACCAGACAAAGACCAGAGAGGGACCAGAGAGAGGCCAGAGAGGGACCAGAGAGGGATCAGAGAGAGACCAGAGAGAGATTATAGAGAGACCAGAGAGAGGCCAGAGAGAGACCAGAGAGAGATCAGAGAGAGGCCAGAGAGAGACCAGAGAGAGAGACCAGAGAGAGACCAGAGAGAGAGACCAGAGAGAGAGACCAGAGAGAGACCAGAGAGAGACCAGAGAGAGACCAGAGAGAGATTAGAGAGAGATTAGAGAGAGACCAGAGAGAGATTAGAGAGAGACCAGAGAGAGATAAGAGAGAGACCAGAGAGAGATTAGAGAGAGAGACCAGAGAGACTAATGAGAGACCAGAGAGAGACCAGAGAGAGATCAGAGAGAGGCCAGAGAGAGACCAGAGAGAGACCAGAGAGAGAGACCAGAGAGAGACCAGAGAGAGACCAGAGAGAGACCAGAGAGAGATTAGAGGGAGACCAGAGAGAGACCAGAGAGAGATTAGAGACAGCACATTCTGACTGAGCCGTAAAACCAGATTTTCCAATGGGACAAAGCAAAATGATCTTGTTTGAAAAATATACCATAAATGTCTCCTTTGAAAAATTCTTAAAATCAGACTAAATGCCTTTGTCTCAAAGAAGAATCTAGTTTTAACACAGTCTGTCATATTAAGGTAAAAACCACTCAATGAATGCATTTATTACCTCATATTTTATCATTTTTTTTGCGGTGTAGAAATAAGTTAAAAAGTAAAAGCAGCAATTGTCACCGTGACACAAAGCAACAAAACCAGCTTCAAAAACAAGTGCAAAGACCATAAATGGCTTTTCCACGTGTTAATCGCGTTGTGTGGTAACAGTGCAGTGTGCCGAAGTCGCCAGCAGAGGGCACTATGGTATCTGGGTTTCAGAGTGAGAAGTGTTCGTCAGGGCAAAGCAAAGTGTTGAAACTGTTACGTGTCATAAAAGAAAGCAAACTCTTTTATCTCCTCAAAAATATTGTCATGTTTTATCACACTATTAAAAAATAGATACATAATTCAAACGCTTTTCAAAATAATGGTCATTCTTGTTGGATTGTGTTGAGTAACTATTTGAGTCAATTCAATGTATTTGTAAATCGCCCTAAATCACTGCAACTGTCGTCTCGGAGGACTCTACCAAGCTGTCGATTCACAGACAACATTCACAGACGAGAGGGAGAGGCCAGAGAGAGAGACCAGAGAGAGAGGCCAGAGAGAGAGACCAGAGGGAGAGGCCAGAGAGAGAGGCCAGAGAGAGAGGCCAGAGAGAGAGACCAGAGAGAGAAAGGCCAGAGAGAGAGACCAGAGGGAGAGGCCAGAGAGAGAGGCCAGAGAGAGAGGCCAGAGAGAGAGACCAGAGAGAGAGACCAGAGAGAGAGACCAGAGAGAGAGGCCAGAGAGAGACCAGAGAGAGAGACCAGAGAGAGAGGCCAGAGAGAGAGGCCAGAGAGAGAGACCAGAGAGAGACCAGAGAGAGAGACCAGAGAGAGAGGCCAGAGAGAGAGACCAGAGAGAGACCAGAGAGAGAGACCAGAGAGAGAGGCCAGAGAGAGAGGCCAGAGAGAGAGACCAGAGAGAGACCAGAGAGAGAGACCAGAGAGAGAGACCAGAGAGAGAGGCCAGAGAGAGAGACCAGAGAGAGACCAGAGAGAGAGACCAGAGAGAGACCAGAGAGAGACCAGAGAGAGAGACCAGAGAGAGACCAGAGAGAGAGACCAGAGAGAGAGACCAGAGAGAGACCAGAGAGAGAGGCCAGAGAGAGAGACCAGAGAGAGACCAGAGAGAGAGACCAGAGAGAGACCAGAGAGAGACCAGAGAGAGACCAGAGAGAGACCAGAGAGAGACCAGAGAGAGAGACCAGAGAGAGAGGCCAGAGAGAGAGGCCAGAGAGAGAGACCAGAGAGAGACCAGAGAGAGAGACCAGAGAGAGAGGCCAGAGAGAGAGGCCAGAGATGGACCTGTGAGTGTTCTGACCAATCAGTGAGACCCTAATACTTTTCCTCCATCTGTAGCAGTCACATCTCTGACCTGAGGCCCTGGTTCTTCTGACCACCGCCCTCTGGTCCCCCATGTGCAGGACCAGGACCAAGACCAGGACCAGGACCAAGACCAGAACCAAGACCAGGACCAGGACCAGGACCAGGACCAGGCCTCTGAAACTGCAGGGGCTGATGGGAAGTGTCACAATCCCCCAGCTCTCTCCCTCTCTCTCCCTCTTTCTCACACTGTCTCTCTCCCCCCCTCTCTCTCTCTCTCTCTCTGTGCCATCTTGATCTCTTGCTTTCACTCAGTCTATCTTCGAGTGCTCTCTAAGCTTCTTGAATTTTCATTTAATTTTACGGTTACTACTTTTCTCTCCACGTTGTTGCGGAGCTTGGCGTGTCCTGCCTGAAGGTTTGGGAGGGAATCAGAAATATACAATATACTGTACTTACAAAAGGAATCAGTACTGACGCTGCTAAATCAAGAGGACCATGAATGTTTACAGACACATGGTCCAGACACATGGTCCTTGGTAAATATACAATCTACATTTATACGTCTTTATATCATATCTATACTGATGCCAACTTGTGCAGTACAGATATGTAACTGAGTCCTGGGTCTACAGCCTCAGTCCTGGGTCTACAGTGTCAGAGCCAGAGTTTTTTTGCGTGAACATTTTACTTCCTGTTTGGAGTCTTGGGACAAACAACAAGATTTTTTGCGTTAAAAAAAAGTTAGGAACCTGAGCTTTAAGTAAAAGACTTCGACTTCTGTTTTCTCTCTTTCAAAGGAAGTAACACTAGTACTTTTCAACAACCTCTCTCTTCCTCCTCTCTCTCTCCCTCTTCTCTCTCTCAATCTTCCTCCTCTCTTTCTCACACGCTCTCCCTCTTCCTCTGCTCTCTTCCTCCTCTCTCTCTCTCTTTCTCCCCATCTTCCTCTCTCCCCTCTCTCTCTTCCTCTCTCTCTCTCTCTCTTCCTCCTCTCTCCATCACCCTGAGTTGACAGCTTGTCTTTAGGACGCTACCACCGCTGTCACCTCTCTTGCCCCCCTCCCCACAATCTCTCTCTTCCTCCCCTCTCTCTCTCTCTCTCCATCTTCCTCTCTCTTTCTCTCTCCATCTTCTTCCTCCCTCTCTCTTGCTCCTCACTCTCTCTCTCTTCCTCCTCTCTCCATCAGCCTGAGTTGACAGCTTGTCTTTAGGACGCTGCCACCGCTGTCACCTCTTTGCCCCCCCTCCCACCTCCCTCCTCCCTCCTCCTCCCCCTCCCTCACCCCTTCACCCCCTCAGGCCTGACGGGAGCGATCTGAATTTTAAGATCCCAATTACGGCGCCTGGCCCCTGGGGTGTGTTCTAATGTGTCATATCAGGAGCCATCTGCGGGGCCCCGGCTCTAATATTCCCTCAATTACCGGAGGAGACGGGGAATTCAGAGCGCTCCGGCGAGATCCGTGACACCTGCGAGACTTTCGGAGCCAACGAGATGAATTTGGGCTGAATTTATGCAGCGGTGAAAGTAAGATTGTGACTTTGGGAAGAGTATGGCCACAGAAAAATATAATACAAATAATACATTGGTTTTATACAGAACTCTGGCTCTGACACACACACACACACACACACACACACACACACACACACACACACACACACACACACACACACACACACACACACACACACACACACACACACACACACACACACACACACACACACACACACACACACACACACACACACACACACACACACACACACACAACTCATCCCAGACTCATTCTAATGGGGGTGAGGTGTCTTGCCTAAGGACACATAAACAGCCGCCCCACTCTGCAAATAAGTGCAGAACAAACTCCAGCCCTGGTTCTGAGACGTCTCTGTTCTGCTCAAAAAGTCTCTTCCTCAGACTCAGAGAAAACTCCCTGGACACTCTCCAGCCTCTCTCTCTCTCCCCCCTCTCTCTTCCTTCTCTCTCTTTCCCACCCTCTCACCCACTTCCTATTCCTTTCTCTCTATTTCCCCCTCCCTGGTTCTCTCCCCTCTCTCCTTCCATCCCTCCCTCTCTCTCTCCTCTCCCTCCTCTCTCTCGTCTCTCCCTCCTCTCCCTATCTCTTTCCCTCCCTCTCCCTCACTCCGTCTCTCCCTCTCCCTCCCTCCCTCTCTCTCTCTCTCCCCCCTCTCCCTATCCATTTCTCTCTCTTTCACTCTCCCTGCTTCTCTCTCCTCCTCTATCTCTCTCTCCTCCAATCTCCCTGCCTCCTTCTTCTCTCCCTCTCTCCCTGCCTCCCTCCTCTCCCTCCCTCCCTCCTTCCCTCTCTCCCTCCCTCTCTCTCTCCCTCACTCCCTCTCTCTGCCCATGGTCCACTTCATCAAGGCCGGCTCTGTTGCTGGCGGCTGCAGGTAGATGGATGGGGGTGCCATGGGGGTGCTGTTGCCATGGCGAGGGCAGAACAGCCGACTCAGCGGCGCCCTGACAGTGATGAAGGCCCCGGTCCACCCCGGTCCACCCCGGTCCCCGACACAGGCACATGTTCGGCCTTCTCCCCGAA